TCAAATTGCCTTTAGGGAATTTCCACAACTGGTCACAATGCCAAACTGGAGCGTATTTTCCTCAAAAAGCATCGGGCCTCTCAGTGGGTTATTAATTATTATACTCTTTTTTAAAAAGGGGGGAAATTTGGCAGCACACTAAGGAAAAAACAGGGCGCTGAAACTAATTACAAGAGAGCCATTAGCCGTATCTGGGGACTTTGTTTTTCTAATCAGCAGCTTTCTCATCCTGGCATTCTGTGTTTTTGATTAAGTCGTTCATTTATGTACAGAACACAGGCGTGCACCACTTATCATCTATTAGCTCGTATATACAGATACATCTTATCTCATGGTATAGAATGACAAATGGTGCTAATTTCTAAAGAAAGCTGAAGTCCATTCTTAGGAGATGATGCGATGTTAATATCTTCTATAGTTTATACAAGGCAAGTGAGAAGTGAAATTCAAAAGAGGCAGAAGAAGCCGGAAAAAAGAAAAAGAAAAAGGACTCCTCTTGTCATTTCTCATTATGAATATGTCTGTTCCTTTTGTGGCCCGGCCGCTCTGATGTCGAACATGGACGTGAAGGGAAGGCAGAGCGTGGCAAACAGAAACGCAGCGATGATGAATGACCGTCCGATGAAAATTAGTGACAGCTATTACCAAATGATCAGCGGGATTTTTCTGATTACAGCCGCATTTAATCAAAACTGATCTGACAGTGATAGATAGGAAAGAGAGGGACGGTGACAGGCTGTGAATGGAAAAAAAAAAAAAGTGGAGATACTGGTTGACAACTGCAAGTGGGGATGGGCAAGTCGTGTGTTGCAGGTGGAAGATAAGATTCAGTAGCTCAGAAAACAGGCCGTGAATGCACCGTGCTGTGTCAATGCCTCCACTGATTGGCAGTCATAAATGGCACAGTTAAATGTGAAAAAAAAAAAAACTAGAGACTACCTTAGCTGTATAAAATGTATAAATCCTCCTGCACAAATCAACTGGAACATGACAGACAAAAAATATGTTTTAGTATTGGAACAACCTTCACAATCAACGTTCTTAAAAATCAAACTTTGTCCTTCAGAAAGAAATAGAAGGAAAGCCATGGTGTCATTCAATTTAAAAGTTAAAAAAAACACCCAAGTGTAAATGTAAGATAACTTCAGCACACTGCTGACAATCCTGTCAAACCTTAACTCAGAATGAAATAATCTTTTTTTTCTGCTTTTCATTTTATGAAACCAGGATGGAGCCGTGCCACCAGCAGAGAAAAGTCTCTCCGTTCATTTCAGCTTTTAGCAGCGTATCCGTCTTCACCAAGCTGCATTACGGCTCAGTTATACTCTACGCCTGATTTACATGCAGATACAGAAGGAGCCTTCTGACGGTGTTCTGCATTTATTTCATCTTCGTCTTTTCTGCACTTTTTCTGGAAAGACCAAACGTTGCAATACCACCGAAGATTGTGGGGGCAGTGTTGAGCAGTGACGCCAACATTTAAAGCCAGACAAGCGACAAACAATGAAGAAGAATACTCTAGAAAATGGTGGAACTTTTTCATGAAAGATTGTTGGAGGGGGTTGGGAACTATGAACATCTATAAGATTACCTTAGTCAGGAACAGGGACAGAAAACTATGACAGAACAGCTGGTTGGAGATCGGATGGGAACTGTTGGTGTGAGAACACACCCTCTAGTGGATGCTTTTTTGAATGTACATCCCATTGTAAAAAACATTTGAGAGTATGGGTAGAGAAGGTTACATTCTTTAGAACCTTGGAATCTATTTTCACAAGTGAAGAGCGCATAAATGATCTTATAGATTACTTTTAAAAGGCTGTGTAAAAATGTTGCCTCATCACGCTCCCACTTGATTTCATCTTTGATCAAAGTCTAGTGCACACTCCAAAATTCTGGATTTCATTTGATTATTTTCAAAGGAATTAATTTGCTTAAAAGTCTTAATCAGCTTGAAATTATCTGCTTCTTCTCGTTTCACATTCTCCAAAGTATTAATCAAAGATTTCTTCACCAAACATGCTATTTTAAAGGCTTGTTATGCTGTAATTTGCCACATTTTTCTGACCTTATTTCCTAAAATCTAAAAAATGTGCGACTTGTTTCAGTCACCTGCGCACAAGGCTGACTGAAAAATAGAAAAATAAATCATGATGCTGGGAAGGTTCTCGTTAGAATTAATGGAGCCTTTGATTGGAAACAACCACTCCTAACTTCTGCTTCCACTCAATTCCCCCCCCCCCCCAAAAAAAAAAAAATCTGCTGTAATTGCTCTTGGAATGAAACACAAATAACAAACTATGGAAGGATTAAAAAGTAAACACTGAAGGGATGTTTGTTCTTTACATTAATGGTATTCAAAATTCTCAAACAAACATAGAAACATAGATTGTAAACCAGAGGCATTGAAACAAACACATTTTTGGACACATTTGTTCATATTCTTGTCGGTCCCTTAACTTGAAAAGCAATCATGTTGTGTCTACCTTTACTCTGCATTTGGACAGGAGAGGCTTGAGAGGGCAAAGCATGATGTAGCATATTTCTCTTTTGCCTGCATTTCATTCTGAGTCAGTCACAGATGCTGTACTTCATCCGCTGCTGTAAATACTAAGAGGGGTAAAAATAGTCCCCGCTAATCCACAGGGGCCCAGCTGTTTCAACACTGAAAACCTTGTTGGTTCTGGTCTTTATGTGGACTTTGACAATGAAAAGTGTGGAATTAAAAAAACCAGCATGATTCAAGAACATGCCTCTGAACAATGCTGCTAGAAAAGATGGGGCAACATTCATAACTGTCTTTACAGTTTGATGATGTGATCCAAAAAGTAGAACGGCTCATTTCACAGCGATGTGTTTGATGTTAAATAACGCTCAACATGGCAGCTTGAATTCATCACACAGCACCGGCTGAACACGGCGAGCACAGAGCGCTGAGGTAAAGTAGGCCAGGTTTGGCCCAAATATTGTGCAACTCAGTCTCTTCCTGTCCTGTGGGAAATACCAGGACAGGTGCTTTCACAGCGTTTACTGTGCATGTCTCCAAGAATAGAACACCTGGTGTGACACGCATGTATCAGTTCGGCCCAATCATAATATTTCCCTGCGGCAGGTGGCAATTTTCAGCAACAGTAGCGGCCCATAGCCCAGAGGATAGAAACCCTTAAAAAAAAAAAAAAAATACACAACTTTCATGGAGGTGTATTGGTGTTTATGTAGTTTTAGTGCAAGCTGATGCTCCAACATACAAGTTCTTTTACTTTCCTGGATCCAGAAACCTGCTAGCGGCAGCAAGGTAATTATCTTAACAGTGTGCATTCACAGCAGAAAATGATCCCTCTGAAGTGACTAATCCATCTACTCCTCACATGGCGCATGTTGTCAGAAGACACCATTAAGATGGATTTCTCAAAATTATACCGTTTTAATGAACAGATAAGAGCATAACAATAGACTCCGGGATGAGATTCTCTCTTCAGCCTAGCGACTGCCAAACACACTGTGACCAGTGTTAAGGGAGAAAAAATGCACAAGGATGGTATTCATATCACACTTGCTTAAGAAGCCTTTTTACAGTGTTCTGCAGCCAGCACTTTAATCCAGTGTTATCTCTGCCACTCCTGAAGGACACGAGGAGAAGAAACGAGGATATATATACCAGAGCATGACAAAGAGGCATAACCCGTATGTGGCTTTATGTGCAAAGACTTCCTTACTCTTATATCATGTCCAGCCGGAGGAAAAGTGCCGACTCATTTTTTTAAAGTGTATAATCACAGAAATGTGTCAGAGGCAGCAGAAGTGAGCATTACACATCTGTTTTTGAGATAGAAGGAGACTCTGGAGCCGGAGGTGTTTACACTTCCATCACTAAGCTTTATCACTGAAATCACTCTAGCGTGGCTTCAACCAAGTCTCAGTTTATTTTCTGAGAATTCCCAATGAGGAGTCCACATCGTTATTTTACAGAGACATTCCACCTTTTTTATGCTAATGATGAATGTGAAGTGAAGTGTTACATAAACTCTGAGCCACACAGAGGGAAAGCCATGACATGGCACTGACTGGAAATTGGTTTTCATGGCAGTCTGCACCCTGCCCCTTCCAGCATTGGTGATGGGAACGTACAGAATCATTAGTGCAATTCCAGCAGTACTGGAGAAGTCTGCAGATAGTTTAGCAAAAAAGGAAAAAGATTCCGAACTTTGCTAAAATGTAAATTAAAGTGGTGATCCAGGACTCTCTAAAAAAAAAGTTTTGAGGGTATGAGGCACAGCGAGTGGCTTGAGCTGATGGGCCAACTCATTGGCTACTAATGGGCTGAAAACAAAACACAATGTCGTCTAACAATGAGTCAATCTGTGGCTTCATTACTCAAACATATATATGTAAATATTGGTGGATGTTTCAGTTCTGTAATAGAATGGTGTCATGCTCTGGTTTTCTTGGATAAATCAAAGTTTCAAGGAGTCCAAAAACAGTACATGTGATTGGTTAACAAGGTCTGCAGAGTGTGAGCTCTGAAGACAGAACAGTGCGGATCATCACTGACACTTTGCCCACGTTTTTTTGTAGCACTTGAAGACTTCAATTCAAGCTTTTCGTCCAATTGAACCGTGCGGGATTAAATTGAAAACTGGGACATTTATTCACTGGACTGGAGACACATTAGAATGCAAATTCATGTTTGGTATTTGGTTTGATGGGCACATAATCCAACATGAAAAAGCAGAGATATTTCATGAGAGTTGTGGAACAAAAAAGTTGGATGTTTGAAATGTTTGTTGAATAAATGCACTACCTTCATAAAGGTCTACTTCCAGATGTAACAGCCTGTGTAAACGTCTTGATATTGAAGGATGCCTTAAGAGTGGCCTTAAAGGCCGACACGCCATTCATCCAGATTGTAAAACTCCAGTATGTGTTTGAATAGGTTGCCTGTTTGAAGGTTCATTGACCACTTTCATTATTATAAAAGAAAACAAACAGTCCTGTAGTACCTGTTCTCCTTCAGTGAACACCCTGTTTTCAAAACTCCAGGAGATGGTGGGCGTGGGGTCGCCTGAAGCCTCGCAGGTCAGGGTGACCTCCTCGTCGAACTCTGCGGCAGTCTGGTTATTCAGGTAGGTAATCTTGGGTTGCACTGTAAAACAAAAGACAAAAAATGTAGCATGGCTCAATTACAGCTGACATTTCCCCACATACAGTTACTCACGGGGATGCTTTCAGGACTCTTGTAGAACATACCGATTAATCGGCCAGCAGATAATATCGGCCGATATGAGCAAACCCAGTGACTAACGGTATGGGCTAATTCTATCCCCTAGATTTATTCAGCAGCCAAATAGCTTTTTATCTGAGATTCATTGTATGACACTAGCAGTTCTCTTTCACCAGCAGAGGGCGCTATATGGATTACAACAAACATTATCAGTCTCCAAAGTGTCAAGCAGTGATGCACCTACATGCGCAGTTACTTTCCAGTTGAGTGACCATCTTGTCTACATTACTTATCTTTTCCAAGGGTGTTTGAAAACAGCAATTGATAAAGATATGCAATAAATATGTGTATGTATATATCTATCTCTACAGATCGAACATAGATCTAAGAACGATATCGGCCGATATGTTGGTATCAGATTTTTTCTCTCCCAGATGGCGGTATCGGCCCCATTACTGATATATCGGTCAGACCCTACCATTTTGTTTTATCTCTACCAACGTCTGAGGACACACAGCTGAATTCTTAGCAGCTGGATGTTTGACCTACTTGAACAGCTGGCTTGCTGGTTGTTTAATATCTGTGCAGGTAAAGTGAATTTTATCTGAGCTGTTTTTTTTTTTTCGCTGATGAACATCATCCTGCAACTGAAGAAATGGGGTCTGAATGTGGTGGAGTTAGTGAGCAGTAAAAACACAAATAATGACCCATAATTAGCTAAAACCCATCAGTAGAGCTGCTGCAGAGGTGGCTTATGATTCTCTGTGTTATTCTGCAACATGAATCTTCACCATCGAGCTTAGTCATTTGATCCATTCTCTTAACATTATCATCAGTGCAGCTTTAAATAGCCGTTACATATTGTTAGCATGGCCGTAGTAAAGCGTACAGACGGGCTTCATTAGAGTTGTGGTTTCATACCCCATTGACCCATAATAGAGCTGCAAGCACATGATTACATAAGGCTGCTGCGCATTTCCTCATGAGGAGAAACTCTAGTGTGATATCTTTCAATGTCCTTAGGGGTGGCTTAATTAGTTTTCAATAGGACACGCTTTCTTTAAAACCCCTGCGCTTCACGCTGTGTAACCCTGCACACGGCCACTGGATAAGCCGTAGAGGCGCGTACAGCAATGTCAATAAGTACAAAAGGAAAAGGCCAGAGAGAGAGAAAAAAGACCCTCATCGTTCCCACTGAGCTATCATAGGAGAAACTGAGTTATTCTCTTACCGAACACGTTCAGGCTGACTTCCTCTGCTTTCTCCCCCGCCTTGTTCTTGGCGATGCAAGTGTAATCTCCTTCGTCCACTTTCTTGACGTCTTTTATTAACAATTCCGAGCCGTCCTCGTTCAGGCTGTACTTATCGCCCGTTTCAAGGACGATGTTGTTACTGTAAGAGAGGGGGGGGGGGAGAGAAAAAAAAGAGGGAAAAGACATGAGAGGGTTAGAATTTGGAAATGTTCACTTTTACATCTTGAGGAGCTGACAAGTTCCTTTTTTTCTGACACGCTGACAATGACGCGTTTGTTTTTTTTTTTTTTATCTCAGGAGGAAAACCAGCTGGTACACAACAAAGACTGGGAAACCCCCCCCCCCAAAAAAAAAGCTTCCCTGTGCTTAAGTTCTCCAACACATCCTGAGCTTTTTGTTTGCCCTAGCTCTCCTTTAGCCTTTACAAATCTGTGTTTTAAGAGAGGCCATGCACCAATTCGATTATAATGTGCTTCTTTTTCAGTTCTGAGAAGCTGAGGCTTCACTGGAGGTTGCAATCCTGTTTGAGGAGAATTAGGTATTTGTATGCCTCAAATGGCAGCCTTCCCGAAGCCTTTTTGCAGGCAGACAGTGAATGACAAATAACAAACACGAGCTTTACCCGTCTGTTTTTCCAATGCCTCACCCATCTGTACCTCGCTTCAACCTCCCTGCTTCTCTCAAATCTCTCTCCCTGAAAGGCACTGCGTGTCCCTGAACCTCAGCTACGACGTCACACACCGGCTTTACTGTACGGGACGACAGCTGTGAGAAACATCAGGGCGTTCGATGGTCTTATTTGCTTCCTCTGCACAGCGCCGGTGCTGCTGCGTGACAGCCCTAAATTATGCACCATGAATATGTAAGCGCACTAAGCAAACAGCTTTACGAGGAGAAATGATAGCTGGTTGGTATTTGTCAAACTGGAGAGGTGATCAAGTATCCCCCAATTTACACTGAAGAAAGTTAGTTGAGATATATTAGTCTAATACAACAATCCATCACACGGCTTGTGTGTTAAGTCATTACTCTCTTCCTAGTTGGTTTTGAATCTAAAGAGTTCAGAAAGTCGGTGTCATTCTCGATTTATTTTGAGGTGATTAAGAGATTGTTAGATACCAATTCCACTTTATGAACTTGTTTATCTTCTTTTCTTCCATCTATTAATGTCACAGTAGTTCTATTAAAATTAGATTGGATCTGCTCCAGCCCCCCGCGACCCCAAACGGGTAAAGTGGTAAAGATAATGGATGGATGATTAAACACCTGTATAGGTCTTTTGCCTTTAAATCTGTATGGCGGCACCTTAAACTGAAGCACAGCAAACTGTACACATATTTGTTTAATTGTAAAGCACTAAAAATACTTCTTCTTCACTGCTCTCAAACAGTAGAGTTGCCAGGACGAGCCATAATTCAACGATACTGGCAGAACACTGCAACTTGCCGTGTACTGTAAGTTGTAGCAGTGAGGAAATTGTGATATCTCGAGATTCAGGCTCAAAGTATTAGTATCCAGTCTGTGTCTGGACTGATGAAGTTAAAGATACTGCCAGCACATATTTGTACTGGAGGCAGTTTCTATATAATATTGGACCAACTGTATTTAAATACAAACAAATCTCTTTTAAAAATGTCTCTACTTATCCTGCCAAAGATCATCTGTTAGAGAAAGAAGCATCACTATGTAACACTTTTGCATGATTGTGATTTTACTCCTTTGAGATTACCAGAACAAATAAAAGGTTTCTTGTTTGGTTAAACTATAAGTTATTAAGTTTGTCTGTACTACTCATCAGAATGTCCAATCTAAGTCAGAAATGAATACCTTAAGTATTCATACAAAGAACCTGTATGCATAAAACATCTCTCCCATCAACAAAGTGACAGGGTAAGTTGTATTAAATGCCTAAACTACGGATTGTTAATGTTTACCTGACAGGCAACCCCGAACCCGTCGTGTGAATCATGACTGTATTGTGTGTCAGGAACAGAGGTGGGCATGTTGTGACATCAGTGTCGAGTCTCTAAACCTTGTACATCCGATCTCAGAGTGGGTGTGTGAATCATCCGAGCGAGTAACTTTAACAATGGCCAGTGGCACTGACAAATCCTGTCGTCCTGAGGGGCTTCCATTAAGCCCTCTTGTTGTTGTTGTTGTTATTTGGTAAGTCTGGAGATGATGTTGGAAAGATACGACGTGCAAGTTACCCTGGCTGTTGATATTTTAGTGAGATACACCAATACATATGTGAGAAGTTTTGCTGCTCAGCTTAATTTCAGGATGTTCCTCTATCAGGCTATTCAAAATGAAAATATGTTTTCTGATTTGTGAGCTTTAGTTCTAATTATTGAGTTTAACCTAAATAAATTCCAGAAGATATTTAATTTATCATGTTTTGCAGCTGAAGTCAATTTCTGAGATTTAATTCTATAAATACTATCGATCAGCAGATACCCCGTGCAATGCTCTGTGGCACACTGAAGATAACTTTACTGTAGAGCGAATACTATTGGTCCTTAGATGCTCCATTTAAATTTTTTCAGAAATGCACATCGGCAGTTTCATGTCATATTTTAATCCAATGCTTAAATTTTTTACATTTTAAATCCAAGGCATTTTTGCACATATGCTACAGCTGAGCCAAATTTAAACTTTACAAGCAGCTTGTGCAACCAGGTGCACCTCCACTTCTGAATAAAATATGCACAAGTGCCTCGTATTTAACCACAGAGGAAACGGTATGGCATTGAAAGAGTGTGTGCAGAGTGGAAACCTGCCTAATAACACTCATCAGAGCTGTTCTTGTACTTGTTACAGTGATGAAAATATAAATACATGTAAATCTCATCATTTCACCCACACAACTACTTGAAGGCAAGGCCATGCAAATCCATATTCATGCCCTATTTACAAACACTTCACAGCTTTAGCTTCCCCTGAAATCTATATGTGGTGCATATGGAGTCCTGCAAAACAGAGAAGAGAGCAGCAGCACCGGAGAGGGAGAAATGTTACATCTCATTTATTTCAGACTTGATCAGAAGGCTCAATTTATAGGAGGGCAAAAAAAAAATAAAAAGCTACCAGTCCCAGTGGATTAGTTCTGAACCTGAACACGCAATTTGCACTTCTGGTTGGTTTTGAAGTAGCCTTTTAGAGGGCTTGTTTGGAGCTCTTCTAGATTTACATATTCAATGAGCATAAAAAGAAAAAACGATGTTCCAAATTTAAGGAACCAAGTTTACTCTTCCTTTTTTAGGCTGAAAAATTGGCTACAGAGTGGCGAGCGATTCAAGCATCATGTTGATCTTTACAATCAATCAATCATTATTTGTATAGCGCCAATTCATAACAACTGTGATTTTGAGACGCTTTACAAAAGAGCAGATGGGATGATACGCAGGCAGGATTTCTCCTTTTTATTCCTCGCGCTCCTGTTGTCCACACTTCCTTGCCGCTGAGGTGGCGGTCAGACAGGCCGTGTGTTAATGAGGACAGAGGTGGTTGAGGGGACGACACAGTCCGAGGGTGGCGGCTGGGCGCAGGGTGGATTTAGGAGAGGTCTCATAGCAGTCATGTTAAACAATGAGATGACTGATATTTGCCAAAAGTAACTCAGAAACTTTGTTTTTAGGGTCCTACATGTTGATATGAAAGACATTTATCACACCCAGTTCTATCCTCAGTGTGTCTGCACCCTGTTGTTGGCACTGTGTCCAGCAGCTGGAGACAGAGGGCAGAGATAGCCCAACGACTCCAGCGAGGAAACTGTCCACCTGATTAATACGCATCCCTGTGACACGGTCAATAGAGTGCATCCTGTTCCTGAAGGGCGCAGTCCCACCTTTAAACAAGTGTCATTGATAAAGCAACACCCTGCTCTCCTGCACTAAAGATAAACCTTAGGTCTTCTTAGATTAGGACGGTGTGTAACTAAATGAAGTGAACCTGGACTTAACTGCAAACCATTACATTAACTACTGGACTTCTCTAAATGCTAAGGAAGGAAAACCAAAGGAGACAAACCTCACTTAATCCTTGATCTGGCTATAGGCAAAGCACAAAATACAGACGTTTGCTAATAACTCATTTCTACTTTTTAAGGTGAAACTAATGAGAGGTTTTAGGTAAAAAGTGAAGATAACGCTGAGGATTGAACTCAAACATGATACCCGAGTGATAAAAGATCTGTAACAGAAGCCTTGCAGCTTATAAAAAACAACATTTAAAGATGTTATAATGATTTTTTAGTCGTCTGATCTTTATTCTGGGAACATTTTTTATGCAAGCAGGAAAGAAAACTGCAGCGCTTGAGTTGCAGTGTTGGATTCACAGCTTTACACTGCCTATCATATTCATGAAATCCATTCAAACGGATGCAAATGGCCTCTCTGTTCGGACAGATCTAACAGTGCAAGTGGAACCAGCAGTAGTGCATTAGATGTCATAACAAGTGTTTGTTTTTGTGTTTTTATCATCATGTTTTACGAGGATCTGTGTAAAGTCTTCGTCTTCTCTTTATTCCTGCTGTGATGTTTTCAGTATTTTTTGGGGGTTAAGTATTTATGACAGCTCAGATGCAGCCCTGATCCTAATCTATTAAACATATGTGCCATTGGCAGCAGTGATGACGTACTGTGCCCAGGTGACGGTGGGTTCAGGGAAGCCGTCTGCGTCGCAGGCCAACAGAGCCGTGCTTCCGATGTCCGCCGTGGCGTTGACGTCCAAAAGCCTGGGACGGATGGTGGGAAGAACTGAAAAAGACATGGCAACGGTTAGGCACAGGATTTTTAAAGAGCCCTACAGAGATTGTTTAAAGTATCTGATGAGGTAAACTGTAAATCTCTGCATAAAGTTATGAATCAAAAAATGACATCATGTGGAGTTTCTGTGTGATGTACTTCCTGTTTTATTACTGATGTCATGATGGTTAAAAAAGGAACGCAGCAGAAGTTTTTGGAAGTAAATGAAAACTTTTACACACCTTAAGTCCAAAAGTGTTTTCTTTTAAAACATGAATCATAACCACTACATGACAAAATACAATAAAAGAAGAGCCGACTGCAGGAAACTAGGGCAATTTAAGATGAATTTAAATTCTGATTTGCCTTAATATGCAACCATGAAAAAGTATGTAAGCATTACAGAACATCACAAAGCCTTCCAGTTTCTGCAAATGTAACTGTTCTACCTGTTGATTATATTGCGATATTTGTGTTTCCACAAGAATTTTTGTAAAAAGAAATGTAAAGGATGGGCAGGATAGGAATCATTTAAGGGTCATAGATATCAAAATCAAAGTTACATGACATTCCTGCTAATATGTGTTCAGATGTCATGCTCTGGACTAAAGAAACGGACTGGCTGATGACAGATGTCAGATCACATCAAACCAACGTTCATGGAAAAATACAAAAATGAATTAAGGTTTTTTTTTACAAATCCAAGGCTTTAAAATAATATTTCTACATATTTCAGGGTCGACACCCCAAAAATGTTGAGCAACTTTCTTTTCCTTTAGTTTAGGAGGTCGGGCGGAGAGCAGGGGGTGAACGTGAAAGAGACACAGTACTCACCGTTAACTACGACCTTGATCATCCTGAAGTCGATCTCTCCTCTGGCCATGACGCGAGCCTCACAGTTGTACATGCCCTCATCTGTCTTCTTGATGCCGCGGATATGCAGGTGGCCATTATCCATGATCTTGAATCGCACTGAAACACAAAAGGCCAACAGAGGAAGGTTATTCATCAGGCACCGTAATCAAGATATAAAAATGCTTCATTTTAAATCTGGCTTGTATGGGCAGTTAATGATGGATATGTTATGTGCGCTTTATATGCTTTTATGTCAACCTTTGTAAATGGTCTGTAACCTTTGCTTCAATGCTTTAAATAATAAGAATATCAAAATCTAAAAAAAGGCAACAAGAGCTTAATTGAAGTGTGAAAGTTTGATTATGTCCTTCTGTTTTAAAAAAAATCTCCTCACAGTGCACCTAAATCAAGGAGAGGCTCAAGAGCATGATTTATAAAACTGGAATACTTCAGTTAAATTCTCAGACAGGAAGCTGGAGCCAGAGTAAAAAGGGTCTAATTATCCCCGGTAATCAAGCGAGTGGTCGGAAGAACGCAGAGAGCCCTGCATGACACCGTGGCCACTCCAGACGTATTTCAGCCGTGTTTAACAACCGTCATAGAGAACCGACAAAGTGTTGCATCTATAATTAAAGCAGCCATAAACACACAGTAACAGAGTGCGCCGTCTTAACTGAAACCAGGTGTTGTTTCTCACACGTTTCAGGGGATCTGGGTCGTTTCTTTTTTTTTTTGTTCTTTACACTTCCAAATTAGGAAAATTGCAGAAAAAAACCCACATTTCTCTGAAAAGTATGACCAGGAAAGACGTACTTTAAAAACTCCCTAGTTTCCAAGTTGTAAACGGCTATTTATAGAGTTCTTGTTAGGTGGTACTTTCACAGGCAGGCTCGTTCTCTCATTGGGGAAGGGAGCTCCTCCACTGCAGTCTAATGTAACAAGTTCAATATCCATGCTAATGAGCGCGTCCCAGACTTGTGTTCCTATAGCCAAAGATGTGCGATAAAATAACTCAATTCATATAATCGTGTGCTGAGTGCTGGAATAGATTTTGGCCTCGTCCTGCACGACGACCGTTATGTGATTATTTTACACCTCTTCAGTTATTATCATTAAGAACCTGCTGCCCTGCTGTAATTTATACTGTCCTCTGTTTTCATGATGTATTTTCTTGTGTTTTTTGGTCATGTTAAAGTCTAATTTCTGCCTTTGAACATGGAGAAGTATACAATCAAGTCATTTTCTATTCACATGTTCTATTCAATACAAAACAATAACCAACATTTCTTCTTGTCACTTCTCAGTCTGAGCATTTTATTCCACAGAGAATCTCAGCAATTGGACAACATATTAAATCAATTTGATGATACGTTCAAGTCTAAACAGAACTTTACACATCACTGGAAAATAACATGGCAAGAATTAAAATTGTTTGTTTTTTTTCAGTTTCAATTGGATGTGTTGTGTGGTATCATCCACTTAGAGATAGTTTGCAGTAGTTTAGGATTGAGTTATCGTCCCAAAAACTGCCTCGCCACATGCATCAAGATTTTAAGTCATCTGTTAAAACATCTGTCCCCCTCTGACACCATTTTTTAAGGCATATTTTTGCCTTTATTGGATTGGACAGCTGAAGAGAAACAGGAAATGATGGGTGGTGGAGAGAGTGGGGGGGTGACATGAAGCAAAGAGCAGAGGTGGGATTCCAACCCAAGGCCGCTGCGACGAGGACTATAGCCTCCGTACATGGGGAATGCTTCATAACCGCTAGGCTATCGGTGCCCCATTACCGGTTTAATACTCAGTTGTTGAACCATGAGAGTATCTGCAATTATTTTGGCTGTCATCCTTATGTCTGCCTTGTTCATGTTCATATCACTTCAGTGTTGTCACCTATCCCTTGGCCTGAATCATTACATGAACAAGCGACTTAGCAGCAGCTGCACACCAACCTGACGCTGATTGGCGAACTGGACGACACCTCGAGACAACTGTCCGCATCCCACACAGGCTGCTGCGTTAATGTCAGACATTTTTGTTTCTTCTAGCAGTGCATATTAAAAAGTAGCTTCAGTGCATCTCATCAAAAAAACATATTTTCAAGACCTTAATACCCAAAAGAGGAATCCCTATGATACAGCATGTTGTAATTGTACTAGTGTAAGTGTTAATCACAGTTATTGTTTGTAGAAGTAATAGGAATATAACTGATATAAACGTACGACTGAATGAATCCTTCTCTAACATTCAACATCTGGCAGCTCTGCAGGGCTCCCTCACATCCACCTGGCATGTTCCCAGAATCACAAACCTATCACCTGGGTACACGCCAAGCAGCACAGGCACGCTCAACACTTTTAAAATGATGCTAGAAAATGTTGATCTTCTTATGGAAGGACATAAGGTTGTGGTATAAACCAACCAACATATAAAGAAGTTAAAATCAGTTCCACCTCTACTGGCTCTTTTGTTATGAGGACTTTAACTCCTGATAATGATATATGTATCTGCTAAATGATGCATGTGGTTTCATGGTTGGATTGGTTAAGCTTCCAGGCTCGGCAGCCAATAGGAAGGCAGCATCAGGAGGAAACTGTGTACAGCTGTGTGTTATCCATAGTTAGGCGTGTAGCTGACATGATTGACAGGTGGTCTGTTCATCAAGAGGCTTAAAACCCACCTTCAGGCTTCGTCCATTAATATTTACAGTCTATGATTTGAACATTCTGGATTTTTTCACTTTGAAAAATCATGTAATATAATTGTCTTCATTCTGTCTCCTGGCTTGTGCATGAGTAAAATAGTTTTAATTCCTCTAGGTACAGAGACTTGGAAAATATATTTTTATCTTTATTCAGTTTATTAAGCTCAAGTCTAAATATTTCATTTCTAACTTTGGCGTGGGCTCAGTGCAGAATCCAAACAGAAGAGAGAGCTTTGCGTTCCATTAACCAGCTGTTAATCCACGATACATTGACACATTTTGATGGGAACATTAACAACGCAGCACGCAGCGCATGGTGAGGTCAACTGCTGCTCTGAGGAAGATTGCATAAGCAGTTTTCAGTTTTCACTGTTGGCTGCAATTAGTGGTTTTTCCAGTGAAAAACACATTCCTTGACCAGACTCCAAGAATAAAGGCGGGCTTAGCACAACACTGTGGCGACTGCAAGCCCTCCAGCGGTCACCAAAAGGAGGGGTTACTGCGAGGTTAAAATAGGCCCAGGCCAAGTGTAAAACAAAGGCAGCAGAGGGAAGTTGGAGTTGAACTCTCTGAGGTGAAGCTGCTCTGAACTCTTGCTTCCTGCTGCAGCTTTAGTTGTTGCCAGATTAAATAATTCATTGGACAAGAAAATATATAAATATACTACCATTAAGGCCCTCCTTGTGTTAGTTGGAGGTGGGGGAAATGTTTATGACTTGTTACTTCATGGAGGACAGCAGCTGCAGTAAACCACAGATTTTACATTGGTTTCAAAATGTCCACAGAAAAGCTCCTCTCCTGCAGCACATTTCACCGTTCACTATACTCACACAGCGGCTGTTGGCCTGTTACGTCATGTTCAGGTTGGATAATGTTCTACTGTTGTGATCTGGGCTCAAAGTCATACAAATGTTGAAGCTTTCTCTGGATCGTTGGAGGGGACGGCCTGCTGTTTTGGACCACTTAGCACATTGCTAACACTAGCTGTTATCTGACTATGAATGGTAATTGGTTATCCAACATGTTAAAATATAAATCCTAATGTTTCTCTGGATTTTGTTACTTAAAAACAGTTGTTTGAACTTGACATGTTTAGAGTCCAGGCTGCCTTAAAATGTTAAGGTCACTTATTCCAGATGATAATGTGAGATACATTTGTATCAATTAAAAAAAAAAAATCGTCATGAAACTAACTTAATTCTTGGTTAAACCGGGATTTGAACCACGGACATACAGCATCTGCTTTTGACTAATCTACTTAAAGGCTTTATATGCGATTTTTTGATCCAGCAGATGTCGCCCTTGAGCACCAGCATGAAACCAAAACAACTGGCGCTGCATTGTTGTGTTAGCATGCTAATGCTAAAATTACCTGAAATGAGCGTGATCTAGAAACACAGTTAAGCAGTGAGTACAGTATGTTATTCTTCTTTTCTCTAGTCCCTCAATTAAACAACTTTTATACACGAGGGGAGGAGTCAGCCGATGTCCTGGCGATGTAAACAAACTGAAGATAAAACTCTGAAAACATCACAGACAGTGGGACTCGGGTGTTACACCCATTGTAGACAGTCATGACTCACAGAGTTATTTTCAGAGGACAGACTTGATTTATATTATATTGAAGTGTGAAAAATCACATATAAAGACTTTAACTTCAAATGAGTCAATTTTGAAGTTTTGATGATATAAACAGATGATATTGAGATATCACAACATCTCCACTAACTAATCCTGCCAAATGTCGGAGGAAGAAGTGAGTAATTCACCTCTACAGTGTTTATTTGTCTGGTTTCGTTAAAATCCTCACAGTTCCTCTACAACAGCACTAATTGCTTTAGTTCTGATCATCACGTAACAAAGCTCCAAATCATTTTTACTGGCACCAACGTTTCAGAACAAAAGGAAACGCCAGTGAAAAATAAGGATTAATATGCAGAGTTGTTTGACAAGTTTCTATAGACCTTTTAGAGCTTTTGTTCTGTTCGGGTTTGTTTTTTTTAATTTCTGCTGTGACCATGACTCACTATGAGAATCCATTGTGCAGCTGTAAATTGAAGCTGATTACAGCCTTAAGTCCTCTGGAGCTGCAGCAAGATGCAAACTTTTCCAAACCTCCTTTCAAGCCTAAAATTGCTAAAGGCAATTCTCTTTGATATTGGGATTTTTCACAGAGTACCTTTAATAGTACAGATACAGCAGAGACACTTGGCAATCCCATGGGGATGGGGACTACACCCCAACAGAGAACGCCCAAAAACACTCATACAACGGTGTTAAAGGGTTTGGGGATTGCCTGCCACAAAAACCTGATTGTGTGCTGTGAGGTGGCTGAGAGGACTACTTGATATCGTTGAGTGGTCTGTCGTGCTTTTATGTTGCAGATAATACTCATAATAAGTAGATGTAATGTTGTTTGAAGGGTGTATGAAAAAGTTATTTTTAGTATGTGAGAACAAATGCTGTTCAAACGAGACAAGGATACCTTTTAGCAACATTTCAATGAGAATATAAGTAGAGACAATTGGAGGCTCAGTGCAGATATCTGCTGATTTAAAACATGAAACGGGTGCAATGTCAGTTTGAAGTGCACAATAACACATATGGAAGTCTGGACTGAATAGAGGTGTTTTATAGCCAAGCTGTCATAACTAGAATGACAGAGAAAGTAGTTTTTGGGTAACCACTATTTAAAAATGGATCACTGAAGATCAGCTGAACATTGAACAGACAAACAAATCACAGTTTGAACATATTTATCTGTCCACTTTAAAGCCTTCAAAGTCGCCCAAAGAAAGAAAATCAGGTTTCTGTAATATTCTGGGCCTGATTGCAAACCCTGTCATGGAGCAGAAATGAGTGAGTGTGAGTTTTTATCATTTCTTTTTCTTTTCTGAGTCCAAAACAAATTCAATTATAATATCTGGGGCTTGAATTTAAATGTTTTTTTTCTCTGTAAGAATTGCCATTTTTTTACGGGAGAAACAAAACGATTAATGTTACAGGTGACTCCAAGCTTCTGACTTCAACATATTTAACATATGTTTATACTGCTTATACAAAGTAGACTGCATCTACTTTGTATAAGCAGTGGTACACATATACTATTTGCCTTTTCCACTCTTTCTGGGGCTTCAGCTGGTGATATTTTCAGCCTCCAGAGTATTTCACTCTCTTTTAGGGTAATTTTAGGACCAATCTGCCCTCAGACATCTTTACTGGTGACAAAATCCACTCCTCGCTAGGCCAAAAAAAATACAATTTCCATGTTCAAGCATCGTCGATGAGGTCTAAGACTTCCCTGCTGAAAATGCATGGCTTTGTTCATAGATGTCGGGCAGTGTGAGAAGGAGAACAGGAAAAGTGTGGCAAATTGATTGGAGAGCATGAATTGGCAGACAGCACTAGCAGGACGCTGAGGTTACTGCTCGAGGAGTCAGAGAGATGAGATGGGAAGGCGGGTTGGAGGTGAGAAAGTAGTTCAAGCATTGGAACATTTGGATGTTTGAATTGGCTCACCATCTTTGGCAGCCTGGATCTTGGCGCCCTTATGCTTCCAAATGATGGTGGGCGGCGGCGAGCTGATCACATCGCACACTAGATCAGCATCGTCACCATCGTTGAACTCCTGTGGGCTGGGAGCGTCCTGGAAGGTGATCTTTTCTGTAGGGAGATGTGAAAGAACAAATGCATGAAGCGTTTAAAGACGTCTCAACTGTTAGTCTGTCACTTCAAAAGGTGGAAACTGTCAAGTGGAAAATTCACAATGCTTTAAAAAAAGATCTTACAGTTGATTAGCGGTGCAACGAGCCACCACATGGTTTAGAGTCTGCCTCTCTAAAGAATGTTTAGCTGGTTTGGATTTGAAATAATCACAGATGGTGTGGGAAGAAAGTTCAGGTAAATATAGTTCAAAGAAGCTTTGCTTGCATTCAGAAATACAGAAGGACTATTTGAAATTCCCCAGTTCCAATCTAGCTAAGACATGTGGGGACCTATTGGGAAGCCCAAATATGGTTTCCATGGAGGCCCTATGTGTTAGTCAAGAATGATTGATAAGGGGCAATCAATTTGTTCCATATAAGGTCTACATGGGAAGCATTTAACTGACTTGGTTCTGCCACAGCGCCCACATTACTCTTTCAATGGCATCCCTAATTCTGAGGACTCTGGAGTATAACCCATGTGGGTCCCAATGCTAACTTACTTCAAAGCCACATTTTAGTCAACATAACAAGGTGAAGCCCATTAAAACCCTACTTGGATGTGTTAGCTTTGGTTATTTCATTGTGACATCCTGGGGTTACTGGTGCAATTGATAAAAATTTATATTGTACCACAGCTCAGCCTCGGGCAAACCCAAAATCATCCCAAACATTGGGGCAAAAATTGGTCCCAAATTACTTTGTGATTCAAGACCATTTCTTGATCAACTACATCCACACAGATTACTATATAACATGAATGCTTCTGTATTTTTCATTCCTTACAATCTCTTTCCTGCAACAACACAATCACAGAAGCATTTGCATTATTCCAACCCAGGGCTCTCTTTAGGCGTGAAAATGAAGTCAAATCAAATAGTCTTAAAATCTTCAGCTTCTTAAGACACAGCCAAAAATAAACCGGAGGATATGTTAATGAAGTTTTAATGAAGACTTAGTTGTCTTGGATTACAGAGTAGATCTTTATGTTCATCTGTTGTTTGAATCTACTTTAAAGCATAACATTTTTCACAAAAACCTCCAGTCTTAATCAAAAAGAGAGACTTACGAAAGATCTTGACTTGGACTGTGGCCTGGGCCTCCTTGTCGCCGTTCTTTGCCACACACTTGTAGATCCCGGCGCTGTCCACGTTGGCGTGGTAAATGGTGAGGGTCGACATGGTTTCATCGCTGCGACTCACAAACATGTCTGGCCTGTTGGGGAGGATCTTCTCTCCGCTGGGGGCGAACCAGTCAATGTCTTTAGCATCTCCCACCACTGAAACATAAAATATGAAGCATGAGGCCATGCAGGCAGGAAATCTGCAAGGATCACAGCTGCAACAATAATCACACTATTTAAATGTTAAAATGTTTTGCCGCTTTGTGCTTCCAAAGATATGTGATTGAATCAAACCCCCAGCAGTACTGTATATAATCAAAAGCTATTAGTATACATTTGGGTTCATTTTCAGCTCATACATGAATTGAAGCTCCTGAACCATTATTTTTAAAATATATAACATCAGAGATGAGTAACTACTCTAATTTTTTTACGCCATGATTGCATGATAAACATCAAGTACATGGAAAAAAAAGAAAGATCAGAGGAAAAGATCATTATTGACAATTACTAAATCAAAAATTCTGTCGAGTGAAAATGATTGGGGAACATTATTTTCACATCAAAACCATCCCTTCCTGCTTCAGTGTTTATCCCCCAAAAAATCAAAGAAACATGCAAACTAAAACAAAAGGGGAGCTATATGAATAATTTCTGTTTTCTCAGTGGAAACAGTGGATTATTTAGTAGCAGTCATCTCTTACCGAAAGAAAAATCAGACATCTTTTCAACGTTATTCATGTTTTATGAAGACGAGTGCAAGCTGAGACTGTGCTCCTAAATGCATTTTGGCATTCTTTTCATGTGCGGAATTTGAATTCACGCTTAACACGCTCTCTCTCATAGAACAAAAAAAAAGTGTCAAGGTTTTAAATTCTACATGCACACAGATTGACAATATATTTATCTGACTTGTTTTCACTGAAACTCTTCTACAAGTGGTGATGTAGCAACAGGTGGTGAATTAGAGTCGGCTCCGACTGTTTCATTTAAAAGGCTCTTTTTCAAGGGTCTGTTCGAAAAGCACATGTTCTTTCTTCAAGTGGTATCCAGCCATACATTTCAGCTCAATTTTACTTAGTGAGGTTATACAGCATTCAACTCTGAGATGCATGACATCCCGAATACAATGGTGAATTGAAATGTCCCTGAAAAAAAGAACAGCTGCGTCTCTCTCACACACTGTTACAAACATTATCATCATGTTAGAAAAATGTGAAGAGAAAAAGAAAAAAGAGAAGGGATAACAAAAAAAAATGTGGACACGGTCATGGCTAGTGCGAAGAGGCCACCTTGAAATGGGGCAAACCCACAATCCATTGTGAACGATATAATTATATATTATATTATATTCTTTTTACATGTAACGTCGTTGTTATAGCGTTTATACTGTTAGTACAAGTGTTGTATTATCTTGTAGTTTATGTTGTTGAATATATAAATTACATTCACTGCAGCATGACCAGGCAATGAGTACATTTCCTGTTCGCTAACCAACTACCTAGCCTGCTTGCGAAACTGTCAGTTGGAGGGAAACATTGCCATGGTAACAGCGAGCTCCACCAATCTGAGACCTTGCTGTGACTCGTTGATCGTGGGTAGTGTAGTTCTTTTCCCCCGATATCGCAAATAAACCATGTCTTTCTCAAAACAAGGTTTCTATACAAACTTGTGTCTCCTACACGATCAAATATAGTTGTTTCACACTCGCTAATAATCCAATCTGCTAAGGAGAAAATGATTGGGATTTTTACTTCTGGAAACACACTGAAAGGTCAGGAAAGGCCTCTTCTCTTGTCCAATCAGAGAACTCGGTCAGAACTAACTGTTGTGTAATAAAGTACAATAGATTGTATGATGTGAATGCCACCTTTACCTCAGACAATCTGACGAGTGTACATGTATAATCAATACTGAATAAAACACCATAAAGTGCAAGACCTCTCTTTCATTATCGCTTCAGGCTGTGTCTCTCGCCCCCCTCTGCTAAGCCCTCATCTTTACCTGCCTCTGATCTCCACTTCCCACCACCTCCTCAGAATACACTGCTCCATCAATTCACCCCTGCCTCCTCTTTTTGTCGTTCTTTTATGCTTCACCTCTAACGAGAGTATATTAGATCTAAAACAGTCTAATTATTCCAACAGACTTGTAATCCCCATTCATCTAATGATCTCTATTAATGCCTGCATTTTTTTTTTACAGCAGGCGGTGGCATTTGAATCAATCTGCGCAACGTGACATTTGTTTGAGATTAATCTTACCTTCACAGAGGAAAAATTTGGACTCTCCCACGCTGATCTCTCCTTGTGCCGGGGTGATTTGCACTTGGATGGCAGCTGGGGTAAAGAGACAAGAAGACAGAACAAAGCATACATTAGCCTCTTAGGTTGGAGAGCGATGAACGGTGACACAGGGGGCAAAGCACCAAAAAATGTGTGCCTCAAAATAAAATTGCTTTGCCTGCTGTAAAACACCCACCATGTTTCAGACAAACCCTCTATGAATGAGAACTCGGGGATGAGATTTTCATGCTCACTAGAGTGCAACATCTCCATATGCAGAAGGTCTTCGGTTTTCTACGAGTATCTTGTTGAACTGCAGCATCACTTATTGGGTGTATATTGCTAATAGAAGGCAGATGCAAACTAGCAACACCAAAGTGTAAAAACATTTTTCATTTTGCTGGTGGCTTATGTGAAAATACAATGACTGTGATGTAAAATATTTTCTCAGCTGTGGCTAAGTGATTATAAAACCGTATATCACAGAGACACTCACATAATGCTAGCCTGTAATTAAGGCTGAGAGAATATAGAGAGATAGAAAGCTGAAATCCTGTTAGCACTTCCTGGCTAGCTGTAGTTCCACCTCTGCAAGTTAACATGATTAGTGTTTTTAATGATTGATTGTGTGTGTGCCAGTCGTCCTGTTCTGGTAAACACAGCTCCGACAACAACAAAGCCACTCGTGTTTCTTACTCATTGGCGACAGTCATGAATCAGAGATACAGGATATACTTTCATTTCTACATTTCTGGGCTCAATATGTGACGTCTGACATGTTGTTATTTTTTGGGTTTTTCAGACATGCATGTATATTCCAACACACATCACATTCCTTTCTCGATCATTTCATGTGCATGGCGAGTTTACTCCACAGTTTCAAGCTCATGTACAAGAAACCACAGCTTTTGCTACCATGAACTATTGGCCCCTCTGACAATCAACTGTCTCACACTTTACAAGGTCGGAGCATTGAGTAGTCACATCATGACAGAAAAAAGAAGAGTAGACACTACTGTGAAAATGTTCTCACATCAACATTAGAGACTAAAACAAAAAAAAAAAATATTCCGGCTCTTATGTTTCTTTCAATTAGTGCTGGGTAAGATGATCGTCATTCTGAGCAGCAATCTGAAACACATTCAGTATCACTCTGAAAAGATTCACTGTATTTAGAGAGTTGATGTAAGCCACCTGACTGAGCCATCGCAGGGGGGGTTTTTCATCCTTGTTTCCTCACCCCTGCTTCTGCTGGCAGATGATTTAACGGGCATAATGCCGTAATTCAAAGGAAATCCTTTTCCTTCGACTCTAATGCACCACATCTACGAGCTAAAGCTAAAGCTAAAGTGACACAGATGAGATTGGGAAGAGTGCAAGAGAAACACCTGGTGTTTGTTCCTTCCTGCAGGCTGATAAATTCAATTAAAAAAAACCTCTTACATGCTCAATGAAAAGTGCTCTAATTTTCAAAAGGCTCGATCAGGAAGTCAGCTACTCGCACGTGCACACCAGAGTGACAGGAGATGTGATGATTTTTTGGGATACGACATGGTTTAATTAAAGTCTCATATCTGTGTGGCAGGGGGGTGAAGAGCAGACTGCAGAGCCAGAAACACAGCTGAATCGTGATCCGGCGCTCGACAGAGAGATCCACTGAGCCTTCAGCGTGTCGCTATACTTCACACATATGACTGAGTCTGTCTCAGCCCAATTCTCACCAGGAGATTCATGGGAACGCTTTGCACGGACTCACTTCTGAAAATCGGGCAGCCAACTCGCACCACAACACAACACAACACAACACAACACAACACAACACAAAAAAGACCTTGGAGCTTAATGCGAAAAAATCTCATTGCTGTAGAAAAACAGCCGTGACTAAGACAAGACATTCACAGCGGTGGCCTTGGTTGTTCTTTTTTCCCCCTACACACTGGATATTGTGAAAAGCCATCATCATTATGCTGTGAAGCTAAAGCACGACCAGAATGCTGAGCCGACGACAGTGTAAACAGCACCTAGAGCTGCGTAGATGTACACAATGAGCTTTTGTGTGGAAGTGTGTTAAGAGGGTCGCCATGTTGAGTGGTTTAAAAAATTGGAAGCTTTCAGGGAAGATACTCCAGTGTCAACCGTGTCGATTATGTCGTCCTCTTGCTGAAGATTTTTTAATCCTTTTTACACAAAAATTCCCCAGCATGTGAAAATGATATTGTTCAGAAACGGACACAAAGACGAAAACTGAGCCGCACTACTTCAACCTTCTCCTGCTGAGAGAAAACACAACAATGATAGCTGAGATGTCAGGAGAAGGAAACTTTAGTTAAAATGCATTATGAGGAGTTTTTATGTGCTGGGGGGGTAAATGTCAGAAAAGACGATTCACACTGAAGAAACATTTTCCACAGCAAATACTTACAATGAATGATGCATTCAACGGTTTAGAGAAACCAGAAGAAACACATCCTACACATGTACGAGACAATAGAGCGCCACAGGAATGAGTCCTAAAACCCTGAAGGAAGTTAGCATTTGAGCGCCAATGCTTAAAGTGCTCGCACCATATTTAGCGTCCTCATTCCTTGACACATTTAGCGAGTGTACGATATCAAACCCCAGGTGTAATGGAACACTTCCTGTCTCTATTGGCTGTCCAATCAAATAAAGGCAAAGGACAAACAGCTATACTTGAAAAAGCCTGCTCTTTTTCTAACGACCAGCAGGGGAAGACTCCACTGGTTGCAAAAATAATACAATTTTCAGTTATTTTAGTACCTCTGACTTTATGGTCTCGACTGTTTTAAGTCTTTAAAAACAGCAGGATGATTTTTGTAAATATTGGTCTCATTCAGACTATAGATAAGAATATCAATTGATTGTCAAGTTGCTAACACAGCAACCTGTCATACCAGGTAGAGACACAGAAATGCAGATCCTGCTTTGTCCAAGAAAAAAAGAAGTCCTTAAAGGAAAACTCAGGACTCTTACCGATAACATATAAAGCGTTTGGTGACATTTGGATACGTCCACTTCCTGAAGACACCCACAGACTGCTGAGGCATTTCAATTAAGATATTCTAGGTAAGCATAATATCTCCCTCATGGACTAGTCAAGAAGTCAAACAAGCATTGATTTGCAGCGAAACACTGCCTCTGCCTTGTTCCAGGAGAGCAATGCAGGCTCCAGAGGCACAGAGCCCTGCTACCCACAGTGTGTTTGCTTGTACAAGACTGAAGGTAGATACAAAGAAAACAACATATCCATTTCCTTCCCTCATCTAGTAAGATCACAGATATCACGCTGCAAACCAAAGCCATGCCTCCTAAGACTAAGACAACTGGCCAGAAATCAACTGATCATATCTGCAACACTAAAGACAAACAAAAAGGAGCTCAGGCGGTGTGGGAAAGATAGCTATTCCCAGAGCCACTTTCTCAGTGTTTCTCTCTAAATGGCCACTTGCGCTGTGTCTCCAGGATGAAGTGGCTGTTGAGTCTCATGTGTCAAACCAAAGTGCGACTTTCTGGCTGTGCTGAAAGCATGTATACTGCAAGTGTTGTAATCATGGTGTAAAAAACGAGAGATCAGGATTAATGACAGAACAAATGCAAATCAACACCTGTTCTTTAAAATCCTCTTTCATCATCAAACCCAGTTTATAATGGTTTCAAAGACGATTTGATCAGCTGCCTTTTCTTTCTCTAGTTTTGTTCATTGCCCAATGTATTTCAACATTGTACACTATAGGTAAAAATAAATGCCAGAGTTATTACATTTGGTCATTATTACTTTTTATAACAAACGTGTTTGTGTTTTTGACAAAGCCTCCAGTCCAAACCATTCATATTATTCATTAGAATGACATCACATTGAGTATGCTCCCAAATCATAGCATGCAGTTTTATATTTGCAAGAAATGCCCAGATGTACACTGGATCGGCCAGAGTTTTTAAGTATGATATGGGAGCACGCTGGTCATAAACCACCCCCAAAATACATTATGGTTCTCAGACTATCCAAAGGCGGAGCTCGCCAGCCGACCAACTAGTGACTTACAAATAAAAGTAACCATACTGGAATATGTTGAATATGTAGTCACATGTACTTTAAAATGACTACACAGTTGTGTTATCAGTAAACAGATGTATATTGTTTGTTTTCTATTACGGACTGACGGTTGCGCTAGCTTGGTGTTAGCTTATCCAACATAGCATGTAACAGAATACTAACAGTCAGATTGGCAGGCCGTATGCAGTGTGTGCAGTTTGAGTATAGTAGGCAGTAGATTAATGTAGTTATGGACACAGCCATGCCCCCTTCCCTGTGTGTAGCTGTGAGTGTGTGTGTGTTAGTAAGTAGTGTGTCCCTGAAGCTTGAAGCCTGATTGGTGTGCAGCCATTACAATTTGTTTGTTGTATCTCAAAGAGGCATAAATATTCATCTGAGTCTGTTTGGTAACCAGCTAAAAACTTCTCAGAAGCTTTCATGTGATAATAAGACTCATTCAGTAATAGCACTTTTCTATTGAAATGAAACATTTGATGTCTGATATTCAGATAAATATGAAAGAACTGAAAAAAAAAAAGAAAAGCGACGCATCGCGCCAAATCGCTGCAATTTGCATCAAATTTCAAAGCTTTCTCGCTCAAAAGTTAATTTCTCCATTACCAGGGGGGCTGCCTACCTGACTGTGTGAGAGAAGGAAAAAGACTTCTTTGGGTAAAATGGGTTTCATGTCAAAAGCTTTGAGCAGATGACGGTTGGCGAGCGTGTGCTTTGATCTTGCTCGGGTCGCTATCTCTAATGCTAACATGTCGTATCTCAATCGAATCTGAATACAGACAGACTATCATCATCTACAGTGTCCGTTGAGATCGGGGTGGCTTTGGCTCAGTGGTCGAGAGTCGGTCGTCTCTCAACTGGAAGGTCGGTTGAGAGACTTGGTGTACTTGGGTAAGACACTGAACCTCAAATTGAGTATGAATCAGGATTAAATAACACTGATGGACAATTAACATAGCAACCTCTGCCATCAGTGTGTGAATGGGTA